GCAGGCAAAGGCGCCTGCGGTCGCTTCTCCCGCGGGGTAAGGCGCTGTAAGGCAGCAGCGCTTGTCGCCGTTGCTCTCGAGGGCGAAACCCCCCCGTAGGGGCGGTCGCCCGGCAGGACAACACTGCCTGCGGGCGTTGCGCCGCGGGCAGAACCACCCGCGGAGGCGGCGGCGCCCGTAGGGGCGCCCACTTGTAGGGGCAACACCGCTTGCGGGCGCTGCCCTGCGGGCAGAACCACCTACTGAGGCTCCCGCGTGGGCGCCCACTTGCAGGGGCAGCGCCGCCAGCGGGCGTGCCGCCTGTAGGCGAGGGCAGCACCCTGCCCCGCCGCACAGGCCGTTGCTAGTAGGGTGGCCACGACGGCGACAACAGGGGAGTAGGGCGGGCATTCTTGGACAAAAAGATAGTTTTACCCCCTGTGAATTTTAGAAATTCCAATTCTATCATTTTTTCAAAATTATGAAAATACCCCTAGGAATTAAAAATTTTCCTACATGTCCCTGATTTCAGAAAATATTAATTAATTAAAAAGTTTAGCTGATTATTATTTTTATCATTATCTAATAGTCCTATATGATGATTATTTATACATGTGATGTATGATGTGTGGACGAATGATCATGGACCGTGTGATGAGTATATTTGTGATCATAAACGCTAAGAGGAGAACTCTAAAGTCGACTCCTTCCCCACTTTCTTCCTTCTTTTCGATCCAAGAAGAAATAACTATTGCACCCTAATACTAGTGTCGAATTTTCAAATGTAGAGACCCTCAACCACTCCTCTTCTTAATCTATTGATTCTTCTCTCCTGGAATTGAAGGGATGCCTTAAAGCATCAAGGAAAAGAATGGCTCCTAGGCCTAATGAAAATGCATCAACCTAACATCATCTCTCTCCTTGAACATGCTTAGATGAGGAACATAATCACATCTTCCTTTCTAAGTTGGGCAAGGCTTGGTGCAGGGATTTCATCCCGGTGGTCGATCGTCTTGGCGGAATCCTAGTTGCTTAGATATCCTCCTCATTCAAGGCTATAACTATTGGTAAAAATGATCAGTCCCTTAATCTTATTATGGAGAACCCAAGTACACCTCTACTGTTCTTTTTCATTATTTATGACAACACTTCAGCCCTTGTTCGTTGATCTCTATGAAATCTATTTTGTGGCCTCAACTCTATTTCAATTTCATGGTTTCTATGCAATGGCTTCAACGTAATTCTTTCTACCAATGATAACCTTAGAGATAGAGATTGTTTTATCTCTCTAACTTTATTTTGGACTTTCAAATTTTCATTTTTAATGCTAGTCTTATTGATCTTGGATTTCATGATAGTCGTTTTATGTGGTGTAACAATCGATTTGGCTCCTCTCGTATCTCTGCTAGGTTTGATCATGCTCTCGGTAATCAACATTGGTTTTTCTTATTTTATATTATCTTTGTCCAACATCTCACTTGTGTTACTTCTAATCATTCTCCATTTTGGTAGCATTGTGGCTTTCTCTTGGATGGGTGGTATTAACCCTCTTATGGACTTTCACCATAGGCTAACCCACAATTACCACCTTCTTTTCCAATGGCACCAAAAGCATGGTCAAAACTTGGAAAAGACTAGTCTAGAAAAAAAAAAAATGTTGAACTTGAAACTAAGGATCCTTGGGCATTCTTGACCATAATAAGCACTTTAATCTCTTTTGCCTCGACTTATTATCTTAAATATGTAACTTCATATTAAATGGAGGATAAAACCTCTAAAAGGATAAAAATACTATTTTTTTTCACAAAGTTGCCACCCTAAAAAATCGTAAGAATTATATTAACATCTTAAAACTTGATAGTGGGGACCTTTACCATAATAAAGATGAGATATGCTCTCATTTTTCTAGTTGATACTTGAGCTAGTTGGCTTATTCGAGCTCCAAAACTTTCAATAATTGTGGTCTTATTCCCCCTCTTCACATTTTAAATCACATCGATAGTGCCCTCTTGAGTGTAACATTTTCTCTTTTAAAGATTAGTATCTCTCTCAAGCAAATAGGCTAAAGTAAGAGCTTTGACCTTAGTGGCTTCAATGTAGAATTATTTATTAAATATTGGGACCTTCTCAAAGATAATATCATGAATGCTTTCCACTTCTTTTAAAACTTCAAATGCCTTCCTAAAAGCTCGAGTAGAACTTTCTTAGTCTTTATCCCTAAAATAGATAATCTTAAAAAAATTCATGGATGATTGGCCAATTACATTGTATAATATAGTCTACAAGTTACTTTCCAAGATTCTGAACAACCAAATTCGAACCCACCTCAACCATCTTGTTCAATAGGAGCAATTTGCATTCATATTTGGTCACTCTGTCCATAATAATATTTTGATTGCTAATAAGTTGGCCCACTCGATAGCCAACTCTAAAGGTAGCTCCCCTCTTGTTATCTTCAAAATCGATCTTACTAAGGCCTTTGATAGCATTTTTTGGAATACTAATTTGAAGGTTATGGAGCTAATGAACTTTCCACCCCTTTTATAGCTTGAATTTTAGCTTGCTTGTCCTCCCCAATATTTATTTGCCTGATTAATTAGATACCTTCTAACTAGTTCTCTAGATATCATACTATCTACCAAGGATACATAATATCTTTTTCTCTATATATATTGATCTAGTAGAACCTATACTCTATTCTCATGGGCCTTATCAACTTAAATAAATTTACCCCCTTTAACATCAAAAGAATTAAGATTTCTTATCTTATTTTTTATGATGATGTGATAATTTTCTTTAGGGTTAATCCTAAAACCTTCAACTGTGTTCTTTCTGCCCTTAACCTTAGTAAATCTAATATCTATTTTCGTAAATATTATTCTCCCCCATGAAATATAGAATATACAATCTATTTAGTATCAATAAGAGATCTTGACCTATCCCTTAGCTTCCTACTTTTATTTTTCACACTAGAATCCAAGAGCACCACCAAGGTCGGATGGTGTACAAGGTCCTTAGAAAGATCAAAGGTTAGTACAAAGAGCTTCTTTCCTAAGCTGGTAAAGCTATAGTTATCAACTCTATTATCAATTTTATTCTTGTACATACTCATGAATTCTTTGACCTATAAAAAAAATTAATAATATGGGTAAAACTATAATAAATATTTTTTAGAATGATAATACTGATTATAACAAATATAAACTCATTAGTCGGGACATAATCACTAATCTTAATATTATTGTGGTCTTGGCATTCATGACATAAAAACAATCAAAGTCACTTTTAACACCAAGCACATTCATTAGGATCTCTCACACTAGGTAAGGGTTATTCAATCTTCTAAATCACCTAAGGGTGGGCTGTACAAACTCATTAGGAATGACTCTCATATTAAAGCATGGACTAACCCTTGGATTTGTAACTATCCGATCAATTATTATCCTATATTCTTTAATATTAATACTATTGAGAATATTGATCCTAATCTTATTGCTGATAGATCATGAGACTTGGTAAAACTCAAAGAGGTTTTCCACCCTCTCCTTGTATTCTGTATTTTTAGCATCTATGTGTCGCATGTTCTCGGTGATGATGCTTGGGTTTGAACCCTTTCCCCTAAGTGCTCTCTAATTACAAGTAATTTTTATAAGTAAGTAAAGACTAGTAAACAATACGAGGATAGAACTTGGAGTAGTTGGAAGGCAATGTGATAGCTTATGGTGGTCCCAAAGATCAAAATCTTTACCTAAAAATTTTTGTGAAATTGCCTCCATATAGCTATTTGTTTGACAAAATTCTACACTGTTAACATAAACTTTGCTCTATTTGTCACTTATTTAATAATTCTTTATGTATTTTCTTTTTTAATACAAGTTTATTTCTCCTTTTGGAATCCGATTGGTTAGAGAACGTATGTTTATTTTTTTCTTTTCTTTTCTTCAATGATTCGAATAATAGTTCTTGGTTAGGAGAGGGCTTTAACCTTAGACACTTTAAGGGTATTTGGATCCATAGATTCATTATAAATTATCTTTAGAAGCTTTTGTTAAACTGTAATAACTATCACTTTTGCAACCACTATTTGGATCGGTAGCTTTGTTGTGTCGTGAGGGAAATGATGTATTACATCCCCACCTTATACCACTGGGAGTATCCTCTTCATTGTGACTCGAATACAATAGATCTTTTGACCCTTATTCTGATTTTTTAGACGATGACTTTGTTATCAAGATCATCGAAGGAAGGATAATGCTTGAGCAAGGAGTTCCATGTATGGCCTCCTCTACCTTGATGGTTGAAACGTTAACTTTACTTAAAGGATTTTACCGAGCACTTTAGCATAACTTGCCATCTTTAGAAATTTAGACGAACTCTATCCAACTTGTCAACTACATCTCCTCCTCCCGAGAGATCTTTCATAACATCAAAATCATTTTCAACTATTTTAATAGAACACTTAACTCTACGATCCATGATCATACCACTTTTCTAGGGTGTAGGCCAATTAATTTGGTCTCCAACACCTTAATTTTTATAACACCAATTAATTAGTATAACTTAAAAAAAAACCTTTTTGAGGTTATTGTACTTACTAAGGACCTATCAACGAAAGCTTTGAGTTTGTCTACTTGAAGTGACCTATAGATCTAGGCATGCTTATTTTTTCACTTCAATCACACTATTTTCTCACATTTTGCTTAAAAAGATACGTTAGATGCCTCAAGTATTCTGCAATTAAAATGTTTGTCTTGCTTCTATCTGACAATTTAAGGCACCAATTGTGTTACCAACTTTGTCCATATTACTTTATGTGCTTTATTTAGTTGCTGCAATAGCTCATAAACCTTCCTTGTGTGCTCTCATTTGTAATAAACACCATGTGATTGACTTAGCATTGCAAGATGTGGGTAGCTGATACAAGATAAACAAACATGATTCGTGTTGGATTCCTGCGCTCTTCTCGTGATTGATAGCAATGTCTTCAAAGAGAAACAGCTCAACCTCCTTTTATCATACCCAGCAATTCATGATATTTTTCTTGTAGAACAAGTCATCTCCTTCGATCTGAGAAAACAATTCTTGTTTCGTTGTGTACAAGCAATCGATCAAGTGGTTTTCTTTCTCATATTAAGAAGGAACACCATCTTCAATTGTAGGTGGAAAACGGAAGCGGGCATCCCAACTTGCACTCTTCCTGATTCCTCGTAAGTCTCCGAGCCCCTCCATCAGCAGCAACCAACGGTCCACATTGATGAGCGTGCATTCACCACCATTTGACTGTTGAATCGACACCATCAATCATTATACTTACGTAGCTTTCACACCACCCTCTCGTCGGAGAGAGGCTCGAATCCGTCTGGTGAGGCCAACCAGCGCAACATCGACCGCGTCATGGAACCCGAGCTCACTTCGGTTCGCCTCCGGGTGGGCGTAGGTCATCCTCGGAATCAGCGCTATCACCGTCTCCCTCATCCTCTCCACCTCGGCTCTCGGGATCCGGGCCAATTCTTCCTCCACCCGGTCCCATCGGTCCCGTTGGAGCAGAACCGACCAGTTCTCAGGTCGGCCTGGCAAATACCACTCGTACTGCGTGTAGGCCGCGTGCTCTGAGAAGAACACTGGGATGCACCCCGCGAGGACCGCGTCGAAGGTGGACCGCCGGGTGAACGACTCGCCGGGCGGCTGCAGGCAGAAATCGGCCCGGCGCATCACGTCGAGGACTCGGTCGGGGTCGCCACACTCGTGCCGAGCCGCTTCGCAATCGACCGGGATGCACCGGCTCGATTTCCAGCACTGGTTCATGATGGTGGACCGAATCGAGCCCTTGTCCTCGTCGGATCGCAGGCCGCCGACGAACGCCGACAGGTGCGTCCGCCTGAGCCGACGGAGCTCTGCCTGCCACTCCGCCACCTCCGCCGCGGTGCGCGGGTGGAAGTAGGAGGGGTACGGGATGCCGAACTGGTTGTGGCCCTCCCATGGGTGGCGCTCCACCGTGAGGACCGTCATGTTGGCGACCTCCGGCAGGAGGAGGAGGCGGTTGGTGCCGAGGTCCGGGTAGGCCGGGGAGCGCATGAAGTTCCAGGAGGCGTGGCCGAGGGTGAGGAAGTGGTCGCGGCCGCCGTGGCGGCGGAAGGAGGGGAGGGAGGAGAGGTGTGCGGCGAGGTCGACCGCGAGGGCGTCGCCGCGGGTGTGATTCTTCTGCCGGAAGTTGGCGGCGGCATGGAGGCCGGCGTAGAACGGGACGTAGAACAGGAGCGCCGCCTCGGGGTCAGTGGTGCGGCAGGGGTGCCGCTCGGCGCGATGGTGGAACAGCATCTCGGCGGCCAGCGGGTGGGTGGCGTACCACGACGTGCCCACCACATCGTCGGCGCGGAGAGGGAGGCGGAGGAGGGGCCGGCCAAGTCCGCGATGGCCGACGTGGGGGCACACGTCGCAGGAAGCGGGGCGGGCGAGGCAGCGCTGCATGAGGGCGGCGTTGAACCGGGGATGGATGCTGTGTATGTAAAAGGGCGCAATGTCGGGGTGGCAAGCGTCCAGCGAGCGGCTGAGCCGGCAGTGGCGGTGGCCGCCTGCGACGGAGCGCTCGGAGGAAGAGGAGGACTCTGGTGGGAAGGTGAAGAACAAGAGGCGAAGCCACAGGACGTAGCAGAGGACGACAAAGACGACGAAGCGGAAGCGACGGAGGAGAGAAGAAGGCTTGACCTCTCTATAAGAGAAAGAGGAAGAGAAAAGCAAGAAGGATTTCTCCTTGTCTTTGGCCATGGAAGACATTAAGAGGCACAAACGGAAGCTCCTTTTTGCGTTCAATTGGAGAACGGTCGAGAGAGGAGACGAGGAGCAGCGGAGGCGACGAGCGATGTGTGCTTAGACTTTGCGACGGGGGACAGCACAGGCCAACTTTGGTTTCTTTCTTATAGTGGAGTAGAGGGTGGGCGAAAGCAAAAGAGCAAAAGGGTTTTGACCCATACGTTCATAAACTAGTTAGTATATGACTTGGTGCTACAGTTGTATAATGACACTGCGCATTTAGGTGAGAGAAGCTTTTCTGGATCTTGTCTCTCCAAAGCAAGTGAGGCTTTGTTCTCGAGACAAGAGTGGGTGGTTAAGCTGTGGGGATTATTAATTGGATAGCCTCGAGGAAGTAGGGCATTAATTTTATTTGGTGTTCTTTGACTTCCTTCCTCTTGCTGTTCACCAGATAAAACCTAACCTTTCTGGACACTCAAGGAAGAAATTTATAGATTAATCACTTACTTAAGAAGGAGTGATTTGTTGTGGGAAACAATTTTGAGCCGTGGCCTCGGGGCCGACGCGGCTCGGTTCGGGTCCGGACGACGGGGATCTCCCTGGGGCGTTCCTCGAGCCCGCTGAGGCGATCGGGTGCGGTATCCGATCAGGACGGTGTAGCCGTCTCCTCCGGGCAGGAACTCCTCGCCTACACGTCCAGAGGGGATCTTCGACTTCGTACCTGCACAAAGGTCGAGCCGAGGCTCTTGGCCCGACCCCTCCGACGATCAAGTTAGCGGATGTGGAGGGGGTTTCAGATGAAGAAGGGTGTTTGTGTGTCTCCTCCTCCCTTTTCTAATGAACGAGAGGGTATTTATAGGGAAGCATACTGCTTCCTGAGCTGCCCGCTTGCAGGGGGCAGGCTGGTAGCGTCTGACTTTGTGTTGGCGTGACGTGAAGAATTGAGCTTTGGCAGGATGTTAATACGCCTCGATCGACGTTCCGATCTGCATTGACCAGGTGCTGACGTCAGCTGAGTCTTATCATAATTACTATCCTCATCATGATTAATCTTTGCTTGAAACAAAGCCAAAGATTAATCACTCCTCGTTCCTTGTGATGGAACGACAGTTAAATCAAGCGGAAAGATGCATTGCACCATTTGTCATTCCTTGCACATTCCGATCTCCTGTTTCCATGACCCACCATATGTGTAGTGCAGAACCCATGTCCTCCGTTTAAGTAAGCACCTTATCCCGGATAAGGTTTCTCTCTCGTGTCCTGCTCGGTGGCTGGCTGGCTATTCACTTTTTCCTCTCTCCCGAAGCAATGTGGCTTCTTGTCGGTATTATGACCTTCTTGTATTCATCACATCCTGCATAAAATGGTCAACCATCCATCCAACACTTCTTCAGTGGCTATTCTTAATGCCAGTTTCAGCTTCAGATTGTTACTTGCAGTCATAACTTGTGATGAGGGTAATAATGACGATAAGATTCGGGTTGACATCAACTGTCTCAGATGATGCCTCGGTTGACCTGACACCACCTGGTCAAACAGATCAGAACGTCGACCGAGACACATTAACATCCTGCTCAGGCTCGGTCCTTCACGCTACGCCAACACCGCTGTCAGACGTTACCAAGAGTACGATCCTGCTCCCTGCAAGCGGGCACATCAGGAAACAATAAGCTTCTCCATAAATACCCTCGTGTTCTAAACGGGAAGGAAAGAAAGGGAGAAAGATAACAAAAAAACCCCTGTAACTATTTACTAACTTGATCGTCGGAGGGGTCGGGCTGAGCTCTCCCGACCCGACCTGTGTGCAGGTGCGAAGACGGAGGCCTCCCACCAAACGCCCAGGCGAGGAGCCCCCTCCCGGAGGAAACGGTGACCCCTTCGTGATCGGACCACCGCAGTCGGCCTTCTGCAGTCTCAAGGATAGTCCCAAGAAGATCCCCCATCATTCGGACCCGAATCAACCGCGTCGTCCCGAGGCCACGGCTTAAAGTTGTTTACACTAACAACTTGTACTGTCAACGTTAAATCAATTGGATAGTTTTGTTATTCAAAGAAAAGATACATAAAAAACACCCTCTGCATGAAAGGATACAAAATTACGAGGAGGAGTCGGCATCACTCTCTGCCACAAAAAAAAGGTGGATCTCTAGCACTAGTAGCATTGCGATTGACCTCTTTGTTAGCGTCACAGATGATACTTGTAAGAATAATATTGTAGAACGGCTTGATGGGGATCGCAATTGTTTAGCACATCTCAAGAACGCTGGATGCATTATTTTCCACCTGCAATCGGAGTTCCTTATTAAGAACCCAACTCCACCATATGGCATTAGAGATCCTGATTAAGAATCCAAGTCCATCATTTGATTCATAGTGTCCCTACCCATCACAATCCAGTCTATACCATCATCCTCTTTCCCAAATGTCAGTTTTCATGGGTTCCTTCAAGCTACTGGTCATTAGCTACTCCCAACAACTATCCTAGTGATGTTTTCGGCTTCACATATATAGTATAGCTTTCTCTATCCAATACTGTTCATCATCTTCAGCTCCACATACGGCAGCCACAGTTTCCAACACAAGGTGGGTGGCCATGACAGCATCAACATTAGAAATGGAATCAGAAAGTTTTCTTTGTATGATGCATCTAAACCTCTATTTTTACAGTCGTTAATCCATCGTAATCCCAAACTGAATGCTGTCATTATATTTTCTTTAGAGAGGATTGTAATTGTTTGATTGCAGGCTAAAGAAATCAGCAGATTGTTAGTGTAAACAACCTTAAGCTGTGGCCTCGGGACCAACGCAGCTTGGTTCGGATCCGGATGACGCGGATCTCCCTGGGATGTTCCTTCCGACTGCTGAGGTGGTCGATCACGGTGTTCCGATTGGGATGAGGTCGCTATTCCCTCCAGGCAAGAACTCCTCGTCTGCGCATTCGATGGAGACCTTCGGCTTCGCACCTACACAAAGGTCGGGTCGGAGAGCTCGGCCCAACCCCTCCGACGATCAAGTTAGTGAGTGGTCGTGGGAGATTCGCTCTTTTTCGGCCAAGTTTTCTCCCCTCTTTTTTCTCGACGCGCGAGGGTTTTTATAGTGAGAATTACCATTGCACGATGTGCCTGCCCGCAGGGAGTAGGATCGTACCTCTGGTAGCGTCTGACATTGCCATTGGCGTGACGTGAGGGATCGAGCCTGAGCAGGGTGTTAATGCGCATTGATAGGCGTTTCGGTCCGCTTTGACCGGGTGCCTCATCAGGTCAACAGAGGCGGGAGACATCATTCGGGATAGTTGATGTCACGCGAGTCTTATCGCAATTATTACTCTCATCACATATGTTAAATCTGCATTAACGAGAAACCATGTTTAGAGGTATTCGCAATCGCATCTGTTGGCTGGTCCTTTGATACATCACACTTCCAGCATCACCTAACCCCAACTTATTGAATCCAATGGAAGTTGACTGAAGTAGGGACTTTTCCGGCCATGCTGTGTGCTTGCAGATAGAACCGGGGATCAATAAAACAATAAGATCTCTCTCGGTAAAGGAATTATTTTTCCTTTTCTTTTATTTTTCTATTAATAAGTCAAAAAAAAAGTTAATGAAATAAATGAAAATTCAAAAATAGCGATCATAAGACTTATTTGGTTCAAAAAATTCAATCTCTTTTGGGAAAGAATAATAAAATATAACGAAGAATATTCTCTCTTAAATTAACTACAATTCAAACCCAACATCTTTTTAATATATTATGACATGATTCCATAAGAGATGATGTATATTTTTAATAGTCTAGAAAGCTCTAGAAGAACGTAAAAGTATTTATAAACTTATATGCTAAAACTTGAGGTGCATGAGACATCTATAAAGCAACTAGCCATTAATTTTTTTTGAAAAATATTTTCTAATATAAAGTTTTTATTCTTTTAAGTAATTTACCATTGAGCAATCTATTTTCAATTAAGAAGATAAATAAAGCTGCCCACCCCAACACAGGTTTCATATATGACAATGATGTGGCATGCAGAACACTGACCACATCCACTCCTCTCTCTTCCTCTCTTCCATCATCGATTGATCTTTTCAGAACATGTGGTGGGCAACAGTGAACAACGACGACATTTACTCTCTCTCTCTCTTCCTTCTCCCATCATTGTTCTTATCAGAACAAGTGGAGGAAGACAATGATTACGCGACACGAAGTTACACCACTGCATTCAGTGTGCAGCAGGTTCAACTCGCAAAACATGTAGTAGAAAGCAGCACTCGGCACGTAGCTACTGCTGAAGCAATGGTTGATGGCGATCTCCATTTCAGAAGCCTTGCAATGTCTCTCTCTCTCTCTCCTTATTGGCTTTATTATAACTTGTAGGGCTCCAGCTGAGCTAAGCCAACACCAGCTATTGGGACTGCCTTTTCTCCTCTCTTTCTCATGGGTTGCAAGCTAACCGGAGAGACTTCATATGAGCTAAATGTTCAGAAACCAAGTTCAGATTCCCCGAGCTTGATTACAACAACTCAAGTACAAGTTTGCAGAGGTCACAAAAGGCAAGACAACTGCAATAATTGCATAACCAAGTGCTATCTATCTTACATTCCTTGGATTGAGGATGTCCTCATTCATGATCATTACTTTTCAACAGACAGTGCCTTCCATATTTGAAGACGATGAAAGTGCCACTGGTTTGCCACTTTCCATTTGTTGCATTTTTCTTTCAACAGTCCCAAGAACTAATTAATGGGACTCATCTCAGAAGATCATTCAAAGACTTTTGAGCATGAATGGGGGGAGTCATCCCTTTTAGTCTGAATTAGGAGCATATTATTGAGTGATCTCTTCAAATAGAACTGCTCTCAACCTTGTGCTGCATTTAACCTTGCCTTCAGTTGTATATGATATAAGGTGATTACATGTAACCATCCACATCTAACATAGCACAATTTTGGATCATTTTTTATGCCACCATCTATCAAAATATATAATTCTGACCGCTTGTCTCTTCCACCCTTTATCATTTATTTTTCATAAGAAATATTGACAAGGATTCGCATCACAGTGCTGAACACTGCTACCATGATGACCATGTGCGATGATGTTGAGGAAGGAGTTTCTTTGAGATCATGTCATGAAGTCTTATGTGAGTCATTTAA